CAGGGGCGCGGGGCGCTGGTTTCCCTAAGGACCACGGCACCCGGCAGTAGCGTGGTGTCTGCGCGGGGCGCAGCCATGCCAGGGCTCCCAGCTCAGAGGCTTATCCCGGCTGCGAAGGGCTTGTGCATCATTTCAGGTCAGAGACTCCAGTTCCTGTTAATGGCAAACCTCTCCCGGGGGCCTGGCCCGCTCTGCGGCGCGGGGGGCGCGGGGCGCTGGTTTCCCTAAGGACCACGGCACCCGGCAGTAGCGTGGTGTCTGCGCGGGGCGCAGCCATGCCAGGGCTCCCAGCTCAGAGGCTTATCCCGGCTGCGAAGGGCTTGTGCATCATTTCAGGTCAGAGACTCCAGTTCCTGTTAATGGCAAACCTCTCCCGGGGGCCTGGCCCGCTCTGCGGCGCGGTGCCCCCCTCCTCGATATAGGGCCTGTGTCTTTCTGCAGCCGCCACCTCTTTGTCTCCATGCGTGCAAGGGCCCAGCGAGTGTTTGGCACCTCCTCTGCTTCTTTCATCATCCAGTTTAACTCCTTTGATTGTCACGAAAAGTGTAAAATAGACCCTTGTGGGGGAATCTAGCTGCAATTTACCTGTAAGGTTTTTGAGGCAGTGATCCTGTGTATTTGTGATGTTATGTAGAAAGAATTATCGGGAGGTGTACTGACACACATGTTCAAGATGCCATTAATGCTCGTGTTAATTCCCTTTTTTGACACGTGAGTCAAATATTTGCTTTTTATCTTTATTGATACATTTGATGTTACAAAGAATACATGGACAGCGCTTCTGCTTTCGAAGCTGAAAATTCCAAGGTTTGTAAAGCTAGGGTGTGCTCTGCAATGCAAAACAAAGTATTCCATGAATGCTTTTTAGAAATGTTTTATTGCTCATTTTAAAAGGTTAAAATCAATGTCAGTATTTAGAAATCCCACTCTGCAGTTTTTTTAATAATTATACTGAAATTGTAGGCCTCAATCCTGTAAGAGCTCTTTGAAGGATCAGGGCCTTATACAGCACATGCATAAAAGGTGTTAAAACACTAAACAAGCAAGCAATAAAAGGCTGCTGGCAGGGCAAAGAACCTTAAATTAATAAAACTAAAAGATTTTAAAAGTCAATTTTTGTGTCCACCCTTTATACTTTATGTACATTTAAGTCCAGATTCTCAGAAGTGTTTAGGAGCTGAACTCCCATAGATACCTTTGAGGATCTGGACAATTGTAATTAGCTTGGAGAATGAAAAGAGACAAGCTTTGCTTCCTGGTTCTCACACTTTCACTATGAAGCTGTATTTGTAATAGATATGTAGCCGTATTAGTCTGGTCTAGCTGAAACAAAAAACAGGACTATGCAGCACTTTAAAGACTAACAACATGATTTATTAGGTGATGAGCTTTTGTGGGCCAGACTCACTTCCTCAGATCAAATTGTGGAAGAAAATTGGCACGACCATATATACCAAAGGATACAACCAAAAAAAAATGAACACATATGAAAAGGACAAATCAAATTTCAGAACAGAAGGGAGATGGGGGGGGAGGGGAGGGGAAATGTCTGAGCTAATGATATTAGAGGTGATAATTGGGGAAGCTATCTTTGTAAGCTGTATTTGGTTTGCAAAGAATGAAGAAATAAGATCAATTAAGAAATCAAAAGCTTTTCTGTTAATTAACATGCATACGTTCTTTCTATGAATTCTATGCCCTCTAAAGTTATTGTATTAAACCTAGATTCTTGGGCCAAAATTAATCCGATGGTATATTTTAATTTAAGTCCCACAAGTCTCCATGAGATGTATAATAGCGACATTAAAATTTGTATAATTCGATAACCATGTAACTGCTGACAATTTCAGTGATTACACAGTTACACCTAGAGCAGGAGCCGATTTGCATGAGGAGCCAGATTTTAAGCCTGCTCCCCACACATATCGGCTCCTACCTGTTGTCCTGTGCTGCTGCCTCTATATTGTAAGCAGCAGCGTGGGATGGCCGGCAGCTTCCTGGGAGCCAGACCGTGAGCCATGTGTAGCTGTTTGGGTAACCGATAAGCATACTTTCTGGTTACTCATTGAAATGGCTACACTCTTACATCCCTAATGTATGCGTTATATTTGTTTTCCATGTGGATGGTGAGACAAGGAGATCAAACTACTTGTCATTGCTTACACAGTGAATCCAAGACATAGCTGTGAATATCACTCAGAAGCTTGGACTCCCAGATCTTAGCTCAAACTACTGAACAAAATCCTTCTAATTTAAAAACATAGCACTTGTGTTACTTTTATCCTACTGTCATTACTGATGACACTGAACCTTTAAAATGAGTGACCACTAGTAAAGGCTCCCTTTTAGCTCACTTGATAGATCTATTTCTCATGCATCCTACTGTGTGGTTCTATCTGAGGCTCAAGCCTGGTCTATACTTGAAAAATTAAGTCTGAAAAGTTATTGCAGTCAGACCTAACCCCAGGTGTAGACAGGGATAAGTTGATGAAAGAAAGATCTATGCTGAGGCTTGATCTAAACTGTATTGGCATTGCCATGTCAATCATAAGTATGAATAAACAACAAATTACGAAAAAGGGATTTTTGAAAATAAAACCCTTGTTCAAAAGATATTGTACTCCTCAAAAAATGAGGTTTACAGGATCTTTCGAAAAAGGGTTTATTTTCAAAAGATCCCCATCTAAACTGACAGGGTGTGTGTAGTTCCCCCCCCCAAAAAAAGCCCCATTTCGAAAAAAGCGGCGGCCGCCCTTATGCAAATGAAGCATGGGAAATTCAAATTCTGGCTTCATTTGCAATATCAACATGCCTAATTTACATCCCTTTATCGAAATAGGGATGTAGTCTAGAGCAGTGGTCTCCATCCTTTTTACACCTGAGATTGCTTTTTAAGTCTCAGAACATGCGAAGATCTACTGCCCTGCCCCTTCTTTGAAGTGTGAAGATCTACTGCCCCGCCCCTTCTTTGAAGCCGCGCCTACATTACATGAGGAAATCTAATGTAAATGTACTGCGCAGGTGCGCAGTTCAGAGAGGGCTCAAGAGCTACTCTTGGAGCCCCTGAGATCTACCAGTAGATCGCGATCTACTGGTTGGTGACCACGGGTCCAGAGCCACCCTTAGTCTGTAATGTAGACATAGACCAGGTCTATGTTATGAGGAGTATGGTAGACAATCTACAGTGAGAGAAGGGGTTAATCCATTGCTTTATGGACACACACACACACTCTTCCCAGAAGTGGTAGTTAGGTTGATGGAAGCATTCTTCAGCTACATCTACAGACTCAATTAGGTAAACTCAGATGCAATTAGGTGAACATAGGTATGGTGCTGGATGTGGATTTTTCAGGCCCTGAGTGCTGTAGTTTTGTGAACTTATATTTTAAGCATGGACTAGGCCATATTCTAAGGTTCATTTATAATGCTCTGAACAACATAAAAGGACCTTGTAATGGTGCACTGCTTGAGGGCAAGTCTACACTAGAAACTTACATCCACCTGTGTGATGTCAACTAACAACCACCAGTCATTACTGCAATGGATTGTGTCCACACTACCCTTCTCCTGTCAGTGGTGTGTATCCCCATGAGAAATGCTTCCTTTACGGCAGAGGGGCATCTGCTCTCCACATCCCCTCAGGTGCTCGGCTCACCACTTCCAGGATTTTGACTGCAACCGGAGTCATGGCACTCAGGCTCTCTGCAGGAAGTCTCTGAGTAGGAGCCAGGAAGGGAGTTGGAAGCGGGGTGGGTGCAACCTGTCTGGGAGTGGAGTGTCTGGAGATAGCTGGTCTCTAACAGGGTGACAGCACAGCTTTCTTGTCAATTTGACTGCTCCATAGAGTCGTACAATTGACCAGAATGACAGCCCACAGTCAGTGTAAGTAATCTGCAGTAGGGTTGTCAAAGTGTAGGCAGCTACGTGACACGGGGGTGGGGACAGATGGGAGCCGGTACACGCAGGGAGCTGGCTTTCAAGCTGGCTGTTGCATGTATCAGCTCCTGTGGAACTGACTGCCACCCCCCACCCCTATATTGCTGCCTCTCTATTATAGGCGGCAGCATGGGGGGGGAGGGGTGGCTTTTAAGCTGGCTCTCCATGCATGCCAGCTCTGTGGAGCTACCTGCCTCCCCCCTTGCTGCCTTCCATAGAGGCAGTGGAGGAGGAGGGAGAGGCAGAAGCCAGTTTTCAGGGGGAGCCAGCTGAAAAGCCATGAGGCAGCAGCATAGGGTGGTGGGGGAATACAGGGGAGGCTGCCATGGAGCAGCCTCTGTCAGCAGCGGACCTGGGCTCAGACTGCCAAGGACAGGGGCTGCTGCTGCCCCTCTATCAGACAGTTTTAAAACCAGCTCCCCTCTCAGACTGGCTCCCGCTTTCCATCCTGCACTGCTGCCTCTGATGGAGAGGCAACAGCACGGAGAGGCAGGGGACTCCCCAGGAGTGGGGCCAAGAGTGCACTGCCTGCTGGGTCCATCCCTAGGGACTATTGGATAGTCAAGTAACCACTAAGATTTGATGTGGTTACACAACTATTCAGTTACATGTTATCTAATATCTCTCATCTGAAGTGTCTGCATAGTGCTAACTGCACTGACATAAACCCTGCACCACTCATGCATATAGTTATGTCTGCATAACAGTACACTTACATCAGTAGGAGCAAGGTTATGGTATATACATTGATGTAATTAGGTCAACATAAAATGCCTTACATTCTAGACCTAATTCTTAGTGTAGATCTAGCTTGAGTGTAGATCTAGCTTGAGTGATGTAAAGGAGAAATAAGGTCAAAGGTTCTAATTGCTAGGTGCAGGAAGTGGCTATGATGGACAGCTCTCTTATTTAGTTAAGACCCTACTGTCATTTAGCAGTCTTATAGCCAGGCACCCAGTAATTATCAGCAGTGCAGACTTGCAAAAATAATTAAAAGTCCAAATCTAGAAAGTTGTTTTGAGGATAAATAGATGAGGGATATTCAATTATATAAAAGTTATGTTCATGTTTCTCTTCCTATGCAATTCCCCAACCTCTCTGCACACTGCTAGGTCTTACTGTTGTTGCCTGTTTTGCAGTGTGACTGCCTTCTGTGATTGGGAATATATTACGGAGACTTTTACTTCTGAATGAGTGGCTGGTTCCAATCCAGTTTAGGCTGATAGCTAAGTTATTTACTAAGTACTAATGGGATTCTGAGGCAGCCTCCATATGAATGTGTGTATCATAACAAATATTACAGTGACATTCAATGGCCCTTTTGTTGGCAGTTGTACAAAGATTGATTGCAAAGGCCATAAAAACTGAGCTACTCTTTTTACCCACAAGGTGGGCCTTTGAGGACATGATCAAAGCATATTGGCAGTATGATAGGGCGGAGAAGGTAGATCAACAGTGCTGGAGCTAGTGTAATTTTTTTTTCTTTTTATAGGAAAATTCAGCATTTCATTTTCCCTGCGTGCCCATCATGCACAGATAGAGGAGATTAATCACACACAAACCAGCACAACTTTGCTCTTTCAAGCATGTGGTTGCTGGTTTGTCAATTTCAACGTACCTTTACTTTACATAATTTAGTCATCCTACTCCCTATTTATAATTCTGCTATATTTATTTGTCCTGCAAATCCGTCATTATTTGAGTTTTTATTTTAATGGGTCTATACAGGCAGTCCCTGGGTTACGTACAAGATAGGGACTATAGGTTTGTTCTTAAGTTGAATTTGTATGTAAGTCGGAACTGGCTCCAGATTCAGCTGCTGCCACTGAAACTGACCAGGGGCTGACTACAGGAAGCTGGAGGCAGAGTTGCTCTGCCCCCAGCTTCCTGAAATCAGCCTGATCAGTTTCAACAGCTGCTGAATCTGGAGCCTGGGACAGAACAGCTGGGGCGCTGCCCGGTAGGTTCCCACAGGACCAACCCGGCAGCACCCCAGCCACTCT